TCTAGCTTTATGGGGATCAGATAAATAACTTGCATCTACATAACCAACAGTTAGCATAAAACAAACCCATATCAAGAGTTCCCTTTAAAAATCGCAATATATGCTTAATCTCGTTCCAATGTCTTCGTGTAGGAGAAGAACTATATCTTACTAGTAAATTAACAGAAAATGTTATGTCAGGCCTTGTAGCATTAGCAAGATACATTAGTGCACCAATTGCACTGAGATAGAGTACTTCAGGACCAAGGAGTTCCTCATCTTCTTCGGGAGGTCGGAACAAATCTGTATTCACTTCAAGTGATCGAACAACCATTGGTGTACTCAATGAGTGCGCTTTGTCCATGTAAAAGCGTTTTAAGACCCTTTTTGTATAGGCATATTGATGGATAAAGATCTCGTTTGCTAAATATTCAATTTGCAGACCAAGACAAAGTTTTGTCTTTTCAAGATCTTTCATCTCAAAATTCTTTCTTAGGATATTTAATTGCCTTTTGGAGCTTTTCTAAAGTTCCAACAAGATTTATGTCATCAACATAAACAACAAGTATAACAAATTCTGAAGTTATTTTCTTTATAAAAATACATGGACAAATAACATCATTTATGTAACCCTCTTTCAGCAAATATTCACTGAGGCGATTATACCACATGCGCCCAGATTACTTTAAACCGTACAAAAATCTTTATAATCTGATTGAGTACATTTCCCGAGATTTTGAATATGCTTCAGGCATTTTAAATCCTTCAGGGATTTTCATGTAAATTTCATTATCAAGTGACCCGTACAGATAAGCTGTAACCACATCCATTAAATGTATTTCAAGCCTTTCACGTAAGGCTAAACTAATGAGATATCGAAATGTTATGGCATCCATAACTGGTGAATATGTTTCTTCATAATCGACTCCAGGTCGTTGTGAGAATCCTTGTGCAACAAGGCGAGCCTTGTATCTTTCAACTTCATTTTTATCATTCCTTTTTCGCACAAAACCCCATTTATGACCAACTGGCTTTATACCAGGAGGTGTTTGGACTACTGGTCCAAAGACCTCTCTTTTAGCAAGTGACTTCAATTCTGATTGAATTGACTCTTGCCATTTTGGCCAATCAAATCTTTGTCGATATTTTTCGACAGATCGGGGTTCAAGATTCTCACTATCTTGCATAATGTTAAGTGCAACATTATATGCAAAAATATTATCCACCACTATTTTAGATCGATTTAAATTAATCCCATCACCAGTAGAACTTATTAAAAGTTCCTCACTCACTTGAGTATCGGGTTCATTGATTTCTTCAGGAATCTCAGAACTAATCAGATCTTGGGTCTCTTCAGGAGATCCCTTCATAATATTATTTTGATCATTTGTCGATTTTCTTTTTCTAGGATTTCGATACTTAGAACCCAAAGGTCTACCACACTTCAGGCGTGCTTTAGGTTCACTAGCTCTCATGCTAGTAGATGGTCCTGTTGGGACATCAATTCGGATAGGTACATTCTCTGTAGGGATATGCAACTTAGTTATCCTTTTCAAATCAGTAAATGTGTCTTGCATTTGATTTGCTATATTTTATAAATGGATAATCTTTTGGACCTCCTTATTACATGTAGGGGTACGTGGATCAAAGTGAGATAATGATGAAACTTTTCACACAATTTATCTTTTGATTTCCTTTTTCTCTGCCCCTAATTATGAGAAATTTGTTTCATCAAATCGACAATCTGCAAATCGAGCAGTAAATAAATCTCCCGCCAATGGTTCAAGATAGCGAATAATAGAGGGTGATTAAAACCCAATATATATTCCTAACCTTCTTTGGGGGCCCATCTTACTGCGCTGTGGTGGTGTTACTGGCACATATACAGCACATCCAAAAATTTGTAGATGGGCAATATTTGGTTCATGACCAAAAACTAATTATGACGGAGAATATTTATTATAATGTGTTGGTCTGAGACGGATAAGTGATGCTGCGTGCAAGAAAGCATGACCCCAAACAATAGTGGGCAATTTTATTTTCATAAGTAGTGGTCTTGCTATCAATTGCAGCCGTTTAATAAATGAATCTGCAAGGCCATTTTGAGTATGAACATAAGCTACATGATGTTCAACTTTTATTCCAACTGATAGGCAATAATTATCAAAAACTTGAGATGAGAATTCTCCAGCATTATCAAGGCGAATAGCCTTTATAGGATAATCTGGGAATTGTACCTTTAATCGAATTATTTGGGCTAATAACTTTGCAAACGCGAGGTTGCGAGATGATAGTAGGCACACATGAGACCATATTGAAGATGCATCTATTAGGACCATAAAATATCTAAACAGCCCACTTGGTGGGTGAATAGGTCCACATATGACCCCATGTATACGTTCTAAAAAGGCAGGGGACTCAATGCCAACCTTATTGGTGATGGTCTAGTGATCATTCCTTGATAACAAGCATCACAAAAAAAAAANGACCTCTCTTTTAGCAAGTGACTTCAATTCTGATTGAATTGACTCTTGCCATTTTGGCCAATCAAATCTTTGTCGATNCTCGAATTTTCAGTAATTCGTCTCATCATTATTGATTCAGGATGGCCCAAACGACTATGCCAAAGCACAAAAGTATTTGAATCAGTAAACCTTTGGTTTACGATAGAGTGTGCTTCAACTGTACTAATCTTTGAATAGTATAAGCCAGAAGATAAAGTTGGTAACTTTTCTACAATGCATTTCTAGCCAGAAATATTCTTTGTAATACAAAGATATTCCACGTTCATTTCATCTATTGTCTCAACATGATACCCATTTCGGCGGATATCTATAAAACTCAACAAGTTTCTTCGGGACTTGGAGGAGAACAATGCATTATTGATAATAAGTTTTGTTCCCTTAGACAGAAATACAGTGGCTCTTCCGGAGCCTTCAATCAAACTTATATTACCAGAAATCTTGGAAACATTTGCTTTTTCCTTATGCAAATAAGAAAAGTATTTCTGATCTTTGAATATGGCATGAGTTGTTCCATTATCAATTACACAAATATCTTCATGATTGGTCTTTGATCCAAACATAATTTGAGGATTATCCATATTCTTCAAAATGACATAAACAAAATTAATATGATAGTAAACATTATTTTCAAAGCATAACTTTTATTTATGTACAACAATTACATAACCATACTATCTACTACAAACAACAAAAATTAAAATATTTACATTTCTACATATTACTACCAATCACATGACTTATTTCTCTTTCTGGGAGTGCAAAATAATCAGCTACATCCAAATGCATGAAGTCTTAATTATCTTCAGAAATAAAATTTGCTTCAACATTTTTCTCTGTCTTCTTTAGGGAGGCTTGATACAGCTCAACCAGGTGCTTGGGCGTACGACATGTACGTGACCAGTGCTCTTTTCCTCCACATCTATAACATGCATTTTCTGGCTTTGCTGCTTGCACCGCTTCATGCTTTTGTTCCTTCATTTTCCACTGCCGGTGGTAAGGATGGTTCTTTGGTGCATTGTTATTACCACGATTAGAGTTTCCTCCCCGGCCACGACCATGACCACGACTGGGGCCACGTCCTCTTCTACGCTTAGCTTGGTGGAAGTTCGTCTCATTCACTTCAGGGAATGGACAAGAAC